TGCTCAGCCATAGCAGCCATTTAAAATATGAATATCCCGGGTCTTGAATATCGTGTGGATTGAGTAGATTTAAACAACTTTCAACAAAACTGCGGCCGTTTGGGAAGATCCCATACGCCCGAAAAATTACCATCAAATGGACTGACTTTATTTTAAAGTTTTCCTCCTTCGAACCACGGTTTCACAGAAATTTTCGGCGTGCGTCTAGCCCACGGCCATTATTAAATGGCTCCTTTTCGGCGTGCGTCTAGCCCACGGCCATTATTGAGGAAATGGCTCCTTCATAGTCTTTTGGGTCTTAGGTAGATAACTTTCGATTAAATTAACTTTCTTTGCTAGACAAACTTTAGGAACTGTTTAAAACGGGACCAAGCACTCTGTGATCTGAATGTGAACCTAACGAATGCCTTCGAATTGGCCGACGGAGAATCACTGGAAAGCTTGATCGTCCAGAAGCATTTATTACCCTCGGCTAGGAATTTCATTACATACCGTCATTGACGTTTCTTTGGTGCCATTCCTTCACTCTTTGTTTTCTAATCAAAAAATATCGGCGCAGGTGCGATGTATACTTTCGAATGTTGTATGTCGGGTCAAAACTGGTGTGTCGGATGTTTCTTCATACCACGACTGCCACATGGATCCAGTGTATGTGTTGTTGCCTTCGGAAAGCTGTGTTTTGGTCTACAATTATGGGTTTAAATAAAATTAATCCTAACACGTTAACCTGGAGCTCAGTATTCGCACAATGGAATGAAATTTTCCAAGGCTGCCGTGTCCATGGTGCACTAAAGTGATTGGGCAAGCGAGTTGCGAGTAGCAGCCCAAATAGTTGAGCCCCATTCAGGTATTCTGGTTCCTCAGCGATGCTGGGAAATTATTCCACCAGACTTTCCGCCAGAGGTATGAATGCTTTAGTGGACAGCAAAATTTGGTGAGCTGCGAAAATCTGAACGTAGATCAGAATGTTTTTGGTTTGAGCACATACGCAACAAAACGCAACATTCCGGCGCAAAAAAATTTCACTTCACTTGGGGAATTGGCTTACATTGGCTTTCTGTCAGATTTCCTCTTGGATTCAACTTAGAGCGACAAGAACTATTCGAAAGTGTTACATAAGTTTCATATGTTCCACCAGCAAACAATCAACAGATCTACACTTGATAACAAAAACGCGTGAATTTTAAAAACGAGTACCGAATTCGTTCACCTCGTGAAGCGCTTTGGCGTTAAGCATCACCTGGACGTGGCTATCAGGTTTTGCTCTAAGGCATTTTGCCGCCTCTTCTGCTGTGCATGTGCGCTGGAAGCATACGGACGATGTCTTTTTGCTCTTGATTGTTGCGCCTGAAAATTCTTCATGTCACGGAGAAAGAATGAACCACCAACACCGCAATCCCTCAATAATTGTGCCTCACTAAAGCTGACCGTAGTATGGTACGAAATCAAATCTACCCGTAAGGCCATCTGAAAAAGGCATCCGGTATCCACATCCACCACCAGCTTTTTCATGGTGAGTTGGGGGATAAAATGTGAAGTAGGAGACCCCTGCATATCCGCCGTCGAGCTTGTCTACAGCAATACAATAAGCTTTAAATTGCACCATGTAAACCATTTGTGAATCACTTCTACTTCACAATTTCCTCCTACCTCGTTTCAATGTCACCTCTACCAATTGTGCCCCTACCATTTGCGTTAAACACAGTTTGCTACCCCACTCACCTCTATCCTTTGCTTTGACTCTTCCAGAATCGATGCACCATTTTTCTCAGTGTTACCAAGCTTGCATTCATATAAACTAGATCACGCACCTATTCTATCGGCTAAATTGAAAAAGTAGAAACACAACAATCGAGGAGTCTGTCAAATAAATTTGCGCCATTGCGTTTTTATTGCCACCTGTGTCGCCTCACCTAATAGCAGCTGCTGAGTCTTGTCTGGATCCGAATGCATATAGTTCAGTAGTTT